CGCTCCAGAGGCCACCGTGGTTAAAAATTAGCTTGCACAAACACAAACTCCAAAGATGGGAACGAGGTTAAATAATCACGGGTAGGCATGTTTCAGAACATAACGCAGCCGTCGTAAAGAATGGCTGAGCTCGAGGTATTAGCCCTCACGGGGTGGTACTTTTTTTTTTAAGTCGCTTATAGATAATTTTCATAGAATGCTAAATTTGATGAAGCTTATGAACTTCAAATCGATTACCTTAGGGGGTGAGTTCGAGGTGGAGCCACGTTATAGGAGTGTTTCAGCATTGACGTGGGCTAAATTAATGATCAAGAAAAACTCACTGAGGCTTAGTGGTGCACAGCTTTAATCCCAGTAAATGCAGGCGGATTAAAGTGTAAATTTGAGGTCATCCTGGTCTACATAGTCAGTTCCAGGTCATCTAGACGATCCAAAGGCTAATACTGAGTCCCTGTCTTAAAAAAAGAAAAAAGGAGAAGGAAGAAAGGAGAAAGGAGGAAAACTCTAGCAAGAAATATTATTTCAATCATAGTGGCCAGTGGCACACGCCTTTAATCCCAGCACTTGGGAGGCAGAGGCAGCTGGATCTCTGTGAGTTCGAGACCAGCCTGGTCTACAAGAGCTAGTTCCAGGACAGGCTCCAAAACCACAGAGAAACCCTGTCTCGGAAAAGAAAAAGAAAAAAAAAAAAAAAAAAAAAGAAAAAGTAATAAAATAAAATCAAATCAAAAAATTAAAAATAAAGGAAATATATTTGCACGTTGCTGTGGAACACACACAATTTTATGAGTGCTTTTAGGATCGAGTTCTCTGAGCAGTGGTGGGCTGAGGGTCACTGTAATCTCTTGCTTTCTGTTGCCAGTTCATCTGTCCATATACCCACCTATGTGTGTGCATTCAGGAGGTGGGAAGGAGGAAGCAGGATGGGCAGACAGTGAAGTCACAGGGCTGGCGACCTTTCTCGTCTTTCTTGCGACTTCATTAGCTCTGAGCGTGTCTAGGTTGTGCTGGCCCATAACATCTGTGGTGCCATATGTAAGTATCATTCCCTTTCCGGAAGTATCACATATGAAGCATCATTCCCTTCGGTGCCTGCCTTGAGTTCCGGGGAAGGTCAAGCAGGGAAGGTCAAGCATTGATAGATAACGTTTGTCTGAGAACTGCCTGGACATCACTGATGCTCTCAGGCATTCCATGTTAAAGTTCTGGTCTCTGGCTGGTGAAGATACTGGACGATGACAAGAGGAAACTTAACAACAAAAACCCTTTTATTTGTATGAGTGTTTTGCTTGTGTGTGTCTGTGGACCACAATGGTGCCTGGTGCCCAGAGGCACCAGGTCTCCTGGAACATGAGGGAGCAGGTTGAGTCATTATGTAGCTGGCAGAACCTGAACCCACATCCTCCAGAAGAAAAGCCAGTATTCTTAACAAATGAGCCATTTCTCTAGCCCCGAGTGGTGGAAACTTTTATGAGGTAAGGCCCACAAGGGGCGTGCCTTGCAGGGGACTGTGGGAGTTTAGTCTCCTGCTTTCAGGCCATCAGATGGCTTTAGCTATGCTGTGCACCTGATATTGTGCTGCTGCCTCTCTAGAGGCCCCTGAACAATGGATCAATCAATCATGGACTCGAACCACTCAAACAGCCAAAACTAATCTTTCTGCCTTCTAAGCCGACTACCTCAGGCACTAGCTACTGGCCTTGAGTTAGAAAATCCACCAGGCTTTCTGGCCTCCTGGCCCTCCTTCGTTCATTTATTCAGTAGGAAGAACATGCATGCATTCCTGCAGGTCAGTTTTCCACCTGCAATCTGCTTCATCTCAAGCTAGCCATGTACAGTCTCACTGCTGACAAGGTTGCCAGGATTAACTTTCATGGGAAAATACCTGACCCCTAGGCCAAGTGCTTGGCAGATGCCGGTATGCAGTGAGGGCTGATAAAGCCAGGAACGTATGCATGTGCATACAGACCTATGGATTAAGAAAGGGAATGGATTAGGCTAGCCTATCGCTCGTACAGAGGACCAGGTTCAATTCATGCAAGCAACAGGCAAAGCACTCATACACAGACAATAGTAAAATAAATCTTTTTAAAAAAAATATTTATTTTTATTTTATGTATATGGGTGTTTTGCCATGGGTGTCAGGTCTCCTGGAACTGGAATTATAGACAGTTCTGAGCTGCCATGTGGGGCTGGGAATTGAACCCAGGTCCTCTGGAATAGCAGCCAGTGCTCTTAACCACTGAGCCATCACTTGAGCTTGGTAAAATAAATTTTTAATAAAATTAAAATGAATCTCTAGGGCTGGGTGTGGTGGTGAACACTTTCAATCAAATCACGCAGGAGGCAGAGGCAGGTGGGTCTCTGAGTTTGAGGCCAGCCTGATCTGCAGAGTGAGTTCTAGTTCAGCCACAACAACACAGATCCTGTTTAAAAGTAAAGTTTTTCCAGTGAGTGAACTTGTGAAGGAGAAAGGAATGCACGATGGTATTGCTCTGTGGGCAGCTCCACGATCTTTTCTACTTTAAATACAACGGCTTCTTTCCCTTCCTTTTCAGCTTCTCCCTTCCTGCTCTGGGTGTTGAAGTTTGTCTTCCAATGCAGAAAACTAACTTATACTAGCTCATATAAAATGTATTTATCCATATCCAAAAAACAAGTGAAAATGAAGCAGTCTACCCAAGTACGGCCACACAGTTGGGGAAGCAAAAACAAGTAGACCAGTTCAAGGTCCTCCTCAGCTACATGAGTTCGAGGCCAGTCTAGAATAATTGTGATCTTGTCTCAAAAAACAAAACCAAGAAACTTGGGCTGGAGAGATGGCTCAGTGGTTAAGAGCACTTATTCTTTTCTTTCCTTTCTTTTTTTCTTTTTTGTTTTTTCGAGACAGGTTTCTTTGTAGCTTTGGAGCCTGTCCTGGAACTAGCTCTTGTAGACCAGGCTGGTCTCAACTCACAGAGATCCACCTGCCTCTGCCTCCTAAGTGCTGGGATTAAAGGCGTGCGCCACCACCGCCTGGAGAGAGCACTTCTTCTTGCAGGCCTGGGTTTGGTTCCCAGCACTCGCTTGGCATCTCACAATTCACTTCAGTTCCAGGGGACCACACGCCCTCTTCTGACCTCGAGGCACGCCCGGCACTCGTGTGCTTGTCAACAGTGGAGCAAGCACTCATACACGTAAAGTACAGAACAAAAACCAAACAGAAACCAAAACAAATGAAGGAATTAGGATAGATGCAATTATCCAGGTTTTACTAGGAGTATTAAAAACAGGGGCTGCTGCCTCATACTGCGTCAAGCAGCTACAAGTTTCTGGGGTGGAGACCGCTCTCCTGCGTGCAGTCGTGCAGCTCGGGAGTATGGAGAGACAGTTACTTGTTTTGACCTCTAGATTCCTCCTGAAGCAAATGTCCTGCTAAGGAGCTGGGGAACACCCACCCGTCTCCGTGACAGGAAGGACAACAACCAGAACAACACAACTGAAGATCTCCTCTTGGCTGTTCCAGAGCATCTGCAGCTGAACCTGAAAGTCCTCAGGAGGCTGCGGCATCTGTGAGATCCTGAGACATGCCCTCCCTTATGTACTGCTCAAGCTTCTGAGTCAAAGTTGGACTGATCACTGATTTTTCTGGCCACCCTTCTTCCTGACACAGGGTCTCAGTTGTAGTCCTGGCTGACCTGGGACTCCTTATGTAGATCAGGCTGGCCCTGAGCATCTAGTTACACTCTGGTATTAGCCTTCCTATGGTCTTTTTGATCCCATTGCATTCCTCTAAAAGTCAGGGCACAGACTGATGATGCAACCCGCTGGCAAGATTGCTTACCCAGCATGCACAAAGCCCTGCACTGGCTCTCCAGCACCCCACAGATAGAGTGTGGTGCACAGCCTAGTAATTCCACCACTCGGGGAGTGAGAAACAGGAGGATCGGAGTTCGAGGCTGTCTAGGCATGGTAGTGCACACCTTTAATCCCAGCACCTTGGGAACAGAGACAGGCAGATCTCTGTGGTATATAAAGCTGTTCCAGGCTAGCCAGATAAACAAGACTACACAGTGAGACCCTGTTTCAAACAAAGAAATAAACACAGAAGAAGTTCAGGGTTATCGCCAGCTACCTACATGGGAGTTTGAGGTCAGCCCGAACTATACAAGAGCCCCGTTTTAAATAAAATCCTAGCATTTACTTATTTCATTGAAGCACAGGCTGGCCTTGAACTTAGTATATCTGATTCTCCCGCTTACCTGAGTGCTAGGATTATACCCGTGTACCATCTGTAATCTGGTTAAAATTCCAGTTATTTAAAAGACTTTAGGCAGCTGCAGTGGCAGCTCATACCTTTCTCACGCCAATCCCAGCAGAGAGCAAGGACATCTCTGAGTTTGAGGCCAGCCTGGTCTACAGGGGAGTTCCAGGACAGTCAGGGCTACACAGAGAAGCCCTGCCTTGAAAAGGAGGTACCTAGGCAACACCGTCTCTGTCAGAATGAAGTACCTCCCCAGGGCCGCATTCCTCCGCAGCACAGTGTGGCAGTGATCCACACACTCAGTGTTTGAGGCCAACCCTGGAGGCTGCAGCACCCCACACCTGCGAGCGCACCTGCAAATACACTGAGGAGGCGAGCAGCTGATAAGCAGTGCTTTCAAACTGACTGGGGTTCAGTCAGTCAGGCCCAGCGGCACACATCTGCATTTTCAGCACTCGGAGGCTGAGGCAGGAGAACTAAAGTCTGAGATCAGTAGCAAGACCCTGTCTTAAAAAAAAAAGGTGGGGGGGCTAAAGTCACATTTTCCTCCATTTCAGTGCCTGGAAACCTAGACTACGGATAAAACTACCTGGGAACTGGAAATGTCCAGAGGGAAAGCTGTGGGAAGTTCGCCACAGTGCCACCAAACGTGACTGCTCGTCCCTGTCTGTCAGGGAGTCCTCACAGCTGCTTAGAAAAGAGGTTGTGGCTGGTTTATGGTACAGTGAGCACAAAAGAACACAAACCCAGCACAAACTTAAATTAAATAGCATGATTTAATTTACTTGCTCCTCAATCCTCAATCCTCTTAAGTTAAAAAAAAAGTTCTAATTAACTATTAACGTTAATGAATTAAAACCTTCCAGAAACATGAATCCAAAAGGAAATGTCCAACAGGTGAGACGAGCTGGGCAGTCTATGGCCTTTGCTGTTTCGGTGTGGAACACTACACATCAACGGAAAAGAAAATCTCTAGGTTTTCAGTTTTATTCTTCTAGAGCACAACTGTGTGGCCTGTGACTAAGCTCGCTCTCCCAGCAGGTACACGATGAACTCATAGGTGGACAGCACAATGGCAGTGTTGGGGATCTGCCGGATGAGCTGAGCAAACAGTCCCCGGTAGAAGGCGAGGTAGCCTTCCTCCCGGAATACCAGGCGCGCAGTCTGCACGAATGACTTGTACTTGGTGCCTTCTTCCCGGAGCCGTGTCCTGATGACCTCTGTGGGAGAGACAGTGTGAGGAAGTCAAGGCTCTGTGTCTACTGGGCATCATGGTTCTCACCTGGACAAGGCAGTCACATGCTTAGAGGGACAAGGAAAAGCTAAGTTCTTTTTTTTTTTTTTGGTTTTTCGAGACAGGGTTTCTCTGTAGCTTTGGAGCCTGTCCTGGAACTAGCTCTGTAGACCAGGCTGGCCTCAAACTCACAAAGATCTGCCTGCCTCTGCCTCCTTAGTGCTGGGATTAAAGGCTAAATTCTAGTAGGCATAGTGGCACATAGTTTCCCAGCACTCAGGAAACAGAATCCGGTGGATCTCTGTGAGTTTAAGGCCAGCCTGGTCTACAAAATGAGTTCCATGGAGGCTGGAGAGATGGCTCAGCGGTGCACTGCCTGCTCTTCCAAAGGTCCTGAGTTCAAGTCCCAGCAACCACATGGTGGCTCACAACCATCTGTAATGAAATCTGGTGCCCTCTTCTGGCCTGAGACATACACACAGAATATTGTATACATAATAATAAATAAATAAATAAATAAATGAGTTCCAGGATAGCCAGATCTACACAGTGAGAACCTGTCTTGGAGGAAAAAAGAAAGAGGGGGGGGAGGGAGGGATAAAGGAAGGTAGGAAGGTAGGAAGGAAGGAAAGAAGGAGAAAAGACAAGTTATTTTTAGACCATATTCTAATTAGTCTAAAAGATTTCCTCTGGTCTCCCTACTCTGTCAAGCTGAAAAGCCCCCTGGTCTCCGTCCTGGCACACTGGCCCAGTGCTGGTCACTTCTGCTTGAGCAGACCTCAGAGCTGGGAGGGACCTTTGTCCCTCTGACCCTTGTTCCTGAGACTCTGGTGCATCTGTCACTGCTGTGCCGGGGGCTCTGAAAACACAACCTGTTCTCACAGCAAATGAACTGGTTTTTAAGCAGGTGGGTGGGGCAGCAGTTATCTCGCTCTTGCATCTTGGCTAAGGGTGCAGCTCAGCAGCCACGTCCAACAAACACAAGGCCCTCGGCACAGTCCTTAGCATTCTGACAGACAAAGGGGACCTGGTTTGGGAGGCAGAGGCAGGTGGACCTCTGTGAATTCTAGGTCAGCCTGGTCTACAGAGCAAGTTCCAGGACAGCCAGAGCTACGTAGAGAGCTGTTTCATAACAAAAAGAAAAAAGACCAACTAGTCTTTTATGTAGCATTCTACTCATTTGTCCCCCATAACTTTTTTAATCAGGGAATTTTAAGTAAAGTCTGTGCTACCAGAGCTGTGGTGTCTATGCACAGTAACAAACCTGATATTTTTGCTTTTTGTTTTTTTTCAAGACAGGGTTTCTCTGTGTAGCTTGAAACTGGCTGTCCTGGAACTCACATTGTAGGCCAGGCTGTCCTTGAACTCGAGGGAGGCCACCAGCCTTGGCCTCCCCAAGTGCTAGGATTAAAGGCTCCTCCCACCAACAACTGTTTTGCTGCTCTGGGAGAAAAGAGCAGAGCATACCGTGTGGGTAAGCGATGCAGGAGGCGCATCCCTTAGAAAAAGCTGCAGCTGCCATGAGTCCAAAAAAGCCAGAGGAACTTTTCTCAGCTCCATCCGAGGAGGAGACCACCGGAGCTTCTTTCAGATACTTCTTTAAACTCTCATAAATAGCAAAGCAGATGATCGTCTCTGAGATCCCAGCATAGGAGGCAGTCAGCCCTCTATAGAAGCCACGGATGCCTTCTGTCTGGTACACATGGCGTGCACACTGGAGTGTATTCATCTGCTTGCAGCCTCTCACCCTGTCAGAGGGGAGCAATGATAGGTGCTGAGAGACACATCACACACAAGTCACATGAGGGTCACCCATGACACAGAAATGACGAGGGAGAAGAAACCTGTCTTTCTTGTTCTGAGGCCGCCTTGCCTCTGACCCACTGTGAGACAAGTTCAATTAGCTGAGAAACCTGATGGCCCACAGAATAGATGACATCTGAAATGACAGTCACTGAAGTAGGCTTGTAGCCTTTGACCCAACTGTAAAAAATGCTAATGGAGGATAATATTTGTCAGAGAAAACAGTTGGGATCACTGAAATACCTAAAAACAGGACTAGCTAGGTAAACTGTGCCACAGACACAATGATAAGTTATGACAGCAAGAGATAAGGGAAAGTTAAGTGGAAAGTCAGAGACGCCTTTCATCCCAGCACTCAAGAGGCAGAGGCAGGCAGCTCTCTGAGTTTGAGGCCAGCCTGGTCTACTGTGTGAGCTCCAGGACATCCAGGGCTACACAGAGAAACCCTGTCTGGAAAAACAAAAGTTGGACAAAATGACACTGTGACACCAGAGGGACTGCTCAGGGAAAGTCTGCTGAGACGTCTCCTTTTAGGTATGCTGGGGTTTGAACTCGGGGCTTTGAGCATGGCAGGTAAGTTCTGTACCACTGAGCTATCGGCCAGCCCACGGTGCTCCTTCTTAACATTGTTCTCTGGAATGTGATTTGTCTGCATGACAAAGCACAAACTTATGGTCTCTTATATGGGAAAAAGGTACACACATGCACATATGTATGGATATATTTATATGTGTGTACATGGATATATCTATATTTCTTCTTAGCTATGCTGTATAGAATTTTTAATCTAGACATATTACCTTATATTTTACTCATTTATTTATTTTTAAATATTTACTGATTTATTTACTTTACATATAAGTGTGTGTGTGTGTGAATTGTGTGCAGGCATTAGATCCCTGGAACTGGAGCTATAGGTGTGCAGGAGATGTGCAGGGAACTGAACCTGCATCCTCTGTAAGAGCAGAAAATGTTCTTGGCTGCTGAGACATAGCTCCAGCACACAGTGGTAGATTTTTATTCTGTCATTTCCAAGGTTGGTGAGAACCCCTGCCTTAATCTTTTTTAAAAAATGACAATTCAGAATGAGCTAATATACTCCATTTCTTACTATTCTTCTGACTCTGTCCTCATTTTTCAAGGAAAGTAACAGAAATATCAATCTATTTTTTGTTTGTTTCTTTTATACATATTCCTTTTTGTCTCTAAACAATGTCCTCTGCTCAAGTGTCACTGAAGACTCACTCTGTTTTACAGACTAAGTGCTGCTGATACTAGACTCATGAATGGAAAACAAGAGCTTAAACAGCTCACGCCTGTAATACCAGGCACGGTGGCTCACGCCTGCCTGTAATACCAGCATTTGGGAAGCTGAGATAGGAGAATGGATTGAGTTTCAGGCGAGCATGGATAACAGAGTGAGACCTTGTTTCAAAAAAACCAATGAACTAAAAAAAAAGAGACAAGCTAGGGCTGGAGAGATGGCTCAGTGGTTAAGAGTATCAGCTGCTCTTCCAGAGGTCCCAGGTTCAATTCCCAGCACCCACATGGCAGCTCACAGCTGTCTGTTAATCCAGTTCTGGGGGATCCTATGCCCTCACACAAACTAACATGTAAGCAAAACACCAATGCACATAAAATAAAAATATTTAGAAAGAAAAAAGAGACAAGCTAAACTGCTGAACTTCTGGAGTCTCTTCTCTAGCTCCCATCTTTGTGCGCACCTCCCCCCTCTACACCTGCACCAAGCTCCTTTCCTCTGAGAGGGTGGAAGCCGCCGTAGTCTCAGGAGGCTCCGCTATCCTCTTCTTGCTCCATCCTGCCTAGGTTGTACTATGGACCCTCCAGCATGCTGGGTGCCACATACCCCTTGTCCCTCTGGACTCCACTCTCTTAGCACATTGGTTGTAATGTGTGATAGAAGGCAGGAGCAATTTCCCTGGCAGCCACTGGAACAAGACATGCTCACAGATGTTCACAGAGCCCACCTAAATAAAGGTCTAAAATGTCCTGAGCACTAGAAAGGATCTCCATCTCCGTCAACTGATGCTAAACACAGGTGACATCGAGACACTGAACACCTAGCACTAAGGTGATACCAGAGGCTGCCAGGAAACAAGGCTTGCCAGAAGCTTGAAGCACAACCACAGAGAGGAAGGGCCCAGGAAGGGACTGCATACTCAGGAAGATGGATGTATAGGGCACACGACACTTTGGGAAAACTTTACGCAAAGTCTATCTCGCGTTCTCCCCTCTTTCTTAGAGGCAGCTAAGGAAAGATGGGCTTGCTAATGTTTCCAGGGCTCACCTCTGGGCCACACAGCACAAGGGCTTTTGGAATCCAGGCAGTTCCTTGAACTTAAACTGGGAGAGCCCGAATTTCTACTGGAGACTAGCATTCCTTCAAGAAGTGTGAGTGTGGTGACGGCCTGCAGAAGCAGTAGCTGTGGCTCACACATTTCCCTACCACACTGTCATAAAGTTCCTGGATGCCCTGGAAATCACAGGAGTTCTGGCCTGCTGAGACGTCTGACTTTTGTATAAAAAAAACATTATTAGTATATCACATTTTTTTGTTTTGTTTTGTTTGAGAGAAGGTTTCTAGGTGTAGACTTGGCTGTCCAGGGAACTCACTCTGGAACCCAGAGTGGCCTTGAACTCACAGAGATCTGCCAGCCTTTGGTACAGGGTGCCGGGATCAAAGGCGTGCACCACCACACCCATCATATCACAGATTTTTAAAATTGATGACTTTATTTCAGTTGGTTTCCATTTCTTTAAAAATCTTTGTTCTAGCCAAGGGTAGTGGTTTAACCTGTAAGCCTAGCCCTGGGGAGGCTCAAGGCAGCAAGACTGAAAATCTGAAGCCTCTTGAACTACATAACATGACTGTCTCATCAGAAAACAAAGCTCGGTATTTCTGTAGGCGTCACCAGAACATAAAGGAACACAGCATAGAATACATTAAGAACTCCAGGTTAGGTTCAGGGCAGACGGCTGGCCCATCTGGGGCTATAGTTAAAGTGCTCTCTCTTGTGTCCTTGGCTAGACAGCCAGGCCTCTGTAGAGTCCAGAGCACACCTTCTGACATGGGGTCCACAGAGAACCCCAGAGAGAATACCCATGGAAGCTGGACCATGGAGAGGACCTCTGTCCATCTTCCTCTGCTCTCTGTGCCCTTCTCTCCCCACAATACCACCAGTATAGATCTCAGAAGACATTTCTACATACACATTACAGAGAATCCAGAGGGGACAGCTAAGGACCTCTGCTTTTAATCCACACTTGGCAATGGGAGAAGGAAACAAACCACACCAGAACTCTCAGATAAGGAAGGAACTATGAACTTACTTCCGTTCTAGCTGCATCCTCGTTTTAACCATCCAAATAGGATTCATTAAGGTATTTGTGACAAAAGCTGGAGGGAAAAAACAATTGTCACTGATACAGTCAGTGTGCACTGGAGCTGCCTTTTCCATACAGTACTCGGAAGTCAACCTCCATCCATCCATCCATCCATCCATCCATCCATCCATGTATCTATGTATCTATCCATCCATCTATGTATCTATCTATCCATCCATCTATGTATGTATGTATGTATGTATCTATCTATCCATGTATGTATCTATTTATCTATCCATCCACCCATCTATGTATGTATCCATCCATCCATCCATCCATCCATGTATGTATGTATCTATCATCTATCCATCCATCCATGTATCTACCTATCTACCTATCAATCATCTATCTATCTATCTATCTATCTATCTATCTATCCATCCATCCATCCATCCATGTATCTATTCATCCATCCATCCATCCATGTATGTATCTATCCATCCATCTATCTATCCATCCAACATCTATGTATCTATCAACCATCTATCATTATCCATCCATCCATCAATCATCTATCCATCTATCTATCCATTTATCTATCTATCTATCTATCTATCTATCATTATCCATCCATCCATCAATCATCTATCCATCTATCCACCTATCTATCTATCCATCCGTCTGTCTGTCTATCTATCTATCTATCTATCTATCTATCTATCTATCTATCATTATCCATCCATCCATCAATCATCTATCCATCTATCCACCTATCTATCTATCCATCCATCCATCCATCTGTCTATCTATCTATCTATCTATCTATCTATCTATCTATCTATCTATCTATCTATCTATCTATCATTATCCATCCATCCATCAATCATCTATCCATCTATCCACCTATCTATCTATCCATCCGTCCGTCCGTCCGTCCGTCCGTCCATCCATCCATCCATCCATCCATCCATCCATCCATCTATCTATCTATCTATCATTATCCATCCATCCATCAATCATCTATCCATCTATCCACCTATCTATCTATCCATCCATCCATCCATCCATCCATCTATCCATCCATCCATCCATCCATCTTCTTCTCCGCAGTGCTACAGCTGTTGGTACTGTCATACATAGCCTTTTCCAGCCTCTAGGTGGTGCTGCTAGCATTTGGTTCATTTGAATCCTAGGGCAAAAACTATTTAAAATTTCAATTCAGAAATAATTTGTTTTTAAACTTGCTGATCTTTATGTTTATCTAACACTGAAACAAGTATTAAGTCTTCAGTTACCTGAATTCAAACTTGGAAACTTAAGGAAACAAAAATTTTAAAACTGATGGACCCCCAGGAATCATTACTTTGGTTAAGCCTTCTGCAGCATTTTAACATTCCAGATCAGCCCGAACGCCAGTGCCCAGCTCTTTCTCCTGCACCCTGTGCCCACCGTCCTGAGGAAGCAGGCTAGTTAGACACTAGGAGGGCGGTACTTGGAAAGGCTGCCTTGAGGTGTGCTAGCTTTAACCAAGGTCTTCTGGGTTAATGCTATACACACTACAAAGCTGATTAACGGGGTCAGGGTCATGGTCAGTTCACCATGGATCAACCTATTTTGGAAAGATGTACCCCTTCTCAGGACTCAGCATTAAGGGGAATCTGTTCTTGTGTGAAGTGGTTTAACATTACTTTCTGCTCCGGCTAAAAATCATAATCTGGGTTAGTAATCCTATTAAGAGTAACAAAGGTAAATAAAATTGGTGTGGCGATTTCTTTCTGACAGCAGAAGGCAGGAATTCTAAAATGCTAATATGAATTATCTAAAAATACCTTTAGATTTAAAGGTCTCCTAGCAATTTAGGAGCCCTGTTTCCTTACAAGCACTCCCTGAGGGAACGTCCTGCCCTGAGCTCTGCAGTCAGCAACAAGGACTTCCTTAAAAGAGAACAGCCTGCAGAGGTAGGCCGATCTCTGTGAGTTCAAGGATCGCCTGGTCTACAGGCTCCAAAGCTACAGAGAAACCCCCGTCTCAAAAAACTAACCCCCCCCCAAAAAAAAGAACAGCCTGTCTGGAAGCACAGGCCTTAAGTTCAACCTCAAGGGCCACAGAGCACACAAAGCAAGCAAGCCTGATCCTCGCTGTACGGGGCAGATGCACCCCAGATATCAAGGGGTCAGAGAGAAGGCAGCTCCCACTCCACATTAGAACCCAGTAGGGAAAGCAGGAAGACGTGAAAAACACATTCATGTCCTTTAAGAGAAGCACAGCTCACCAGTGCAGGGAAGCGTGTGCGTCTGCAGGGAATAAGAAGCTTGAGTGGTCAGAGCAAATGAAACCAGTTTACAAACTGCTAACAGCCTCGCTCTACCAACAACAATAGAAAGCTTTTGGGAAATGACTTTAGGTGCACAAGAGGCAGGGAGTTAACTTCTAATTCCTGGAAAGAAAAAAGAAAGCAAGACAAACACCACATGGTTTGGGATGCGAGTCTTCATCTCACTCGTGAGGTAACATACCTGCAGAGCCAGCCGAGAAAATGTGCACAGTATTGCTATTAGGCACGAAAATGCCATTAAATTGTTCTTTGGCTTTGGAGTAACATGCAAAGTACACGGCCCTGTTAGGACAAAGAGAGACTGCTGAGGAAATATCGAGGCACTTTAAAGTCTACGCATCCCTCTGCAACATCTACAACACACAGGATTACAACATCTACAACAGAGCAGCAGAAGGGGTCTGAGGTTGGACTCACTCAAGCCTGCCACAGTACCTGGGATGCGACAAAAGTGTCCAAGACCACAGAGTAAAATGAGATTTGGGTAACTCATAAAAGTCCTTCTGCATTCTTTATTCTGGACAATGTCAATCATTTGAGTAGAAATGCATGCTGCCATTTTTAAAAGTCTAGCTTTCTCAGATGGGAACTTGCTCTTCTTGTCCTCCCTGAGGTGAGAGTACACCCAGGAGCTCTGCAGCAGGAGCAGGCTTCAACCCTGCCATACAGAAGAGAGATGCTTCTCGTTGTTGCTGCTGAATGCTCAGCGTAGGATCCTGGCTACTGTTGAACAGGCTCCCAGGAGGCCACTGGTTTAGACTAAGCTCTGGCACCAGATCCCATCAGACAGGATGAAAGATGGGGGGTGGGGAGTAATCATTTGTGCTCAAGTTTCCAGTTCCTGTTACCAACTCAAGCTACCCGGCCGTTCGAGTAAAGCAGGGTTAGAGAAAATAACAGATCCCACAAAGGGGCAAGTTCCAGTCAGCATGAACAGGCTCCCTCTGCTGTAGTCCTTCTAAGAGAGGAGCCTGATGTGAATCAGTTCATTATTTCTTCCCTTGTAACTCAGAAATGTATAACTTTGGAGCTGGAGAGATGGCTCAGCGGTTAAGAGCATTGCCTGCTTTTCCAAAGGTCCTGAGTTCAATTCCCAGCAACCAAATGGTGGCTCACAACCATCTGTAATGAGGTCTGGTGCCCTCTTCTGGCCTTCAGGCATACATGCAGAAAGAATATTGTATACTAAATAAATAAATATTAAAAAAAAAGAGAAAGAAATGTATAACTTTTTGATCCTTGCTTTTGCTTTTCACTGCCTTGTTCTGTCTAAACAAACAAACAAACACACCAGTCTTATTTTATGGAATAAAGCACTTCCAGATTCCAGAATAGAAAAGGCAACTAAAACCTGTATACTACAGTGTTAGGACTTTGGCCTGGGACACACACTGCAACCTGTCCTTTTACACACACAGTTCCTTTTTCTATTAGCACTGCCCAAAACTTTCTGTGATTCAGAGACACTAGCTGTGCATGGATAACGAGCCCGTGAAAAGTGGCATTTTCATTAATTAAAAAGGTGAATGAAGCCAGCAGCTTAATGCACTGGGGTAGTGCAGTTCTGCGAAGGCTTTAAGGAGAAGTAAAGAACCATCGATGTAATGCTATAGGAAGCAAAGTCTAGGAGCCTTTAATTCCTTCAGACTACTGTTCCTGAGCCACCATCTGGCTGAGAAGGCAGATTCTGACATGGATCTGCGTGTGCTGTAACACTGGGCATTTCTACACCCAGGGACAGACCACATACTGCACTCAGGGTAAGAAATCTCACATAGAGAAATCTGAGTGCTGATGGCAGATTTATTTCCCCATTTTAAAAAACCAACCAACCAACCAACCAACCAACCAACCAATAGTAATCACGGTTTCTCCATGTCCGACAAGTTTAAGCAATTTTTTGTTTTTCTTTTTTTTTTTAAAAAAAATGTTTTATTATTTATTATCTATACAGTATTCTGCCAGCATGTATACTTGCAGAGGGCATCAGACCCCATTACAGATGGTTGTGAGCCATGATGTGGTTGCTGGGAATTGAACTCAGGACCTTTAGAAGAACAATCAGTGATCTTAACCTCTGAGCCATCTCTCCAGCCCTTGTTTTTTTTTTTTTTTTCCTAGACGGGGTTTCTTTGTGTAGCCCTGGTTGTCTTGAGCTCACTCTGTAGATCAGGCCGGTCTCGAAATCACAGAGAACCATCTGCTTCTGCCTCTCGAGTGCTGGGATTAAAGGAATGCACCACCACCACATGGCTATGTTTAGGCAATTTTAACACAGGGAAGGGGGGAAGCAGTCATTCAACAGCATCACCCTTGGGCAAGAAGAGATTCACTAGTGCATGCTGATCTTGGGGAGCTCGTGCAACAGCCAAGTGCTTACCTTGATGGTGCAACTCCAACCAAATTTGGACCCAAGCCTCTAAAAAGTGACTTTGGTCCCTCCTTTTCCAGGATCGACCTGAACGATAAGAAAAGACATAGCTTTAACATCTCTGAGACACTTTAGATGGGGTGCTTGGGCAAGTGCGACCTAGGGCACATGAAGTCTGAGTTTGAACCTCAGCCATAAAAAGGGTGTGGTGATCTACACCTCTAGCCACAGCCCTTAGAAGGTGGGAGCAGGAAGATCAGAAGTTCAGAGTCATCCTTGGCGACAAAGAGTCTGAGGCCAGCCTGGGCTACACAAGACTGTCTCAAAACAAAACAAGACCTTTGAGCAAGGCCTATCTTGGTAGTAAGAGAAAACCTTCATGTCACCTCCTTGAAGGGATAACATTTAGGAGACCCTAGACTCTCACTTCTCTCTGCTACAATGTAAAACCAGAAGGCTGCAGTATCAGACAGGGATGCTACAAAGAGTACACCCAAAAGAAAGACTGCCTGAGGAAATCTCTGGTCCTGTTTCTCAATTCCGCTCACTTCAGTCTGCAATCTCACTTCCTCAGGAGGCTGAGGCAAGATCTGTCTAGACCACAGTGAATTCAGGGCAGTGAGCCCCATCACAAAATAAATAAAGTACAAAAATGGGGAGGTATGAGGATGCAAGCCAGTGGCAGAGAGGGTACTTACCTCACACACGGGAGACTATTTGGGTCTCAGTTCTGTCTCCTTACACCTGGCCCTACTATATCAGTGGTTTTATTGTCATTTTCAGAGGCAGTCTCACTGTGTAGCCCAGGCTGGTTTCAAACCTGCTGCACCCTCCTAAGTTCTAGGATTACATGTGTATAACACATCATATTTAATAGATGAAATTTCTTTTTTAAACTTACTTTGTGTGTGCTGGTGTGTGTGTGTGTGTGTGTGTGTGTGTGTGTGAGAGAGAGAGAGAGAGAGAGAGAGAGAGAGAGAGAGAGAGAGAGAGAGAGAGAGGCCAAAAAATGGTATTGAATCCCATTAAGCTCAAGTTATAGGCAGTTATGAGTTGCCCACACGGGCCCTGATGTTACATCTCTAGGAGAGCAGCAAGTGCTCTCAACCACTGAGCAGCCTCTCCAGCCTCGGGAAGAAATTCTTGAACTTGAAGTCTACACTGTAGTTTTGAGGACACTTTGCTCATGGTAGATAAACAGAGAACTACTGCACAGGGTAAACGCATGAGGCACACTCTCAGATGGCTCGTTAGGTTGTGCATGAACACAGCCACACTGCGAAGGCGGAGGTAGTAAAATGCTAGCAGTGTGTGAGTCTATAAGAGGGTTTAAGTCATTTGTGCCATTCAAGTAACTTTTCTACTATTAAATTATTTCAAAATAAAAGGCTATCTTTAAAAACCTCAATAAATCTTAATACAGGTCATAAAAACTGAGACCAAAATTCTAGCACATAAGTTTATAAAAATCCAGGGTTAGAGGAAACACTTCTTGGGCTCCTATCAACACAATGCTTCAAAATAAAATTCATGGTCACGATGGCCAAAAGTAAACCACCTGGCTGTTGACAGAGGCATAATTCAATGTTTTCAATGAAAATCCTTCACTTTTCTTATTTTCCTGAGAGAGGACTGTTTCCAAAGGCCAAGCTCCTTGATCAGGACATGTCTGCAGAAGTGCCTTGAGGGGACCTGCTCCTGACAACACCGTGAGACTGAAGATTCAAATGCTCTTCACTTGACAGTTGCTCGGTGTAGATTGCAACTGTGGTCTGCAGTAATGAGCACCGTGCGGCCCAGAGGCTACTTAAGAAGGTTGAGGGGACCTCTGGCTCCAGGAGGCTGGGAGTCTTCATCCATAATACAGCAGGGAATGTGTGTCCTTAAGTGACTCCCGCCTTTTAAGAGCTGAAGAAAGACAGTCTCCATAGTTACACATTGAACAGTGGCAACAAGTCCGATCTGTTACATAAGCTGAACTTCTGCCCTGCCTGGGTGTTTATAAGCTCTTCTGGGACAATCAAGTTCCCGCTACACAGCACATGTCAGCTCTGAAAGACCAAGGCAGAGCCCAGGCTCGCCCTCTCACCTGCATGCCACCTTTCATATTGGAAAGACACGTAAAAGTGATCGATCAGAGCCGGGCGATGGTGGCGCACGCCTTTAATCCCAGCACTCGGGAGGCAGAGGCAGGCGGATCTCTGTGAGTTCGAGACCAGCCTGGTCTACAGAGCTAGTTCCAGGACAGGCTCCAAAGCCACAGAGAAACCCTGTCTCAAAAAACAAAAAAAAAAAAAAAAAAAGTGATCGATCAGTCTTGTTTGGAGCCCTCTCTCCCCAGGTTAGACCTGCACATATAGGAGAGGCAAGAATCTCACCAAATATCCATCACAGCAAGGCAGCTTTAGAAAGACATGGACTAGCTGATATGGACATTAATTTTCAGATTGAAATAGGGGGTGAAGAGATGGCTTGTGGGGGTCACAATCACTCGTTGGTCTCCAGCAGCTGCATCAGTCTGTCACTCCAGCTTCAGGAGATCTGACTCCTTGTCTGGTCGCCTACATGTGTATATGCCCATATACAGGCATACTCATTTAAGCATTTTAAAAAATAATTATTAAGCCGGGTGGTGGTGGCGCACGCCTTTAATCCCAGCACTCGGGAGGCAGAAGCAGGCGGATCTCTGGGAGTTCGAGGCCAGCCTGGTCTACAAGAGCTAGTTCCGGGACAGGCACCAAAGCTACAGAGAAACCCTGCCTTGAAAAACAAAAAAACAAAACAAAACAAAACAAAAAATTATTAAGACTTTTAAAAAAATCCAATAAGGTACTTCAGTTAACTTAAATCTTCACTTTAAAAAAGTACTTTTTTGGCCAGGTGGTGGTGGTGCACGCCTTTAACCCTAGTATTTGGGGAGACAGAGGCAGGCGGATCTCTGTGAGTTTGAGACCAACTTTATCTACAGAGCAAGTTCTAGGACAGGCTCCAAAGCTACACAGAAAAACCCTGTCTCGAAAAACTGAGGGGAAAAAAAAGTACTTTTAAAAAAAGGAGACACCTGACAAAGCATTATTTTAAAAAATTATGTGTTGTATGTTGTATAGGTGTATCCATGTGGAGGTCAGAGGTCACGTCAGGCTTCTTCCTCCTTCATTCTCCATCCTTTCTTTTCTTTTTTCTGAGATAGGGTCTCACTGTGTATCTCTGGCTGGCCTGGAACTCAGAGATGTCCCCCCCTCTGCCTTCTGAGTGTTGGGATTAAACTGGAACCATATTAAGCCGTCTTACTTATTGAAACAGTGTCTCACTAAAACCTGGAGCTCACTAACTGTGCAAAACTAGCTACCTAGTGAGTTCCAGGATAACGCTGGTGTCCTCCCGCCCATGCTAGGATTACAGGCACACATATATCACCAGTACTATTTTTTTAATTAAATTTAGAAAAATTGCACGTGTGCATGTACACCTGCATGTGTTCCAAAGTATAGGTGAGTGCTACTACGTCCCTTAGAGCTAGTTACAGCTAGCCATGAGCTGCCAGGTGAGGATGCTGAGAACCGAACTCATGTCCTGGAAGAGCAGGAAGCACTCTTAACCATTCTGCCATCTCTTCCAGCTTTGGAAGTGGGTGTTGAAACCCAAACTAAGGTCCTCACTCTTGTATAGCAGGCACCTTATTAGGCACTGAGCCTTTTCCCCAGGCCCCTCCCACAAAGCATTTTTTTTAAAAATGTGTGTGTTTGTGTGTGAGCTAAGTGCACTCCTTTAATCCCAGCATGTGGAAGGCAGAGGTAGATGGATCCCTGCTGAGGTCAGCCTTGTCTACAGAGCAAGTGCCAAGACAGGCTCCAAAGCTACACAGAGAAACCCTGTCTTGAAAACAAACAAACAAACAAAAATTATGTGTGTGTGTTATGTGTAAACTGGATATCTCCTACCATATGGGGTCTGGGGATCAAACTGAGGATGCAAGGCCTAGCAAGTGTCTTACCCGCTGAACCATCATGGCAGCCCATCCCCCATCTTTTGAAATAACTTCCTCCATTCTTCAGCAGCGTATATATTTTTCCTAATAAGTTAACCTAAGACATGTGATTCATATTTTAAAGACTTGTACACACAAAATTTGCTATGACTTTTATAACAGTGGTCACAGGAAGGGTAGGGCAAGTAAGAAGCAGCTGAGTTTTAAATGAATGGCCACATTAGTCATCTGTGCTTTTGACAACCACAGTGTTTCCTAGAATTCAGAACAGAACCCAGGATGGGTCTTGTAGTGCATAGAAAAGGTCTGGGGCTTGTCCTTGCTTATTGTCTCTCTCACAAAGAGCCTTTCTGGTCGAGCATCATCCCTGGGCTTGGCTCCAGAGGCTGAGTGGGAAGCAGCCCTCTTTATTGACCACACCACCCAGGGCAGTACACTGTTTGATGTTTCGGGATCTGAACCACAAGAACATCCACATGGCATGAGGGGATGCTTCTTCAGGTGGGAATCAGGACTCATCATCCAAAGAAGCTCTGCTGCAAACCTTCCCTTAAGAAGCACAAGAAAGCGCCCACTATAAACAGCAGCACACGTGTGTCGCCATGGAGGGAGGCTAGGAAGCCCTTTCCATGACCAGTACTGACTTGCCCAATTTCACAGAATCACTTGATTGGTTCTGAATGCTTCTCTAGCCACACACAATATCCTAAGGAGCCTGAGGACACTTTATTAATAGAAACAAATACTCTGCCTCCCAGGCTGGAGTGAGGGTGAGCAGACAAAGGTGCATGTAAATAAGCAGCCACAGTGCTGGAGGATGAGGCAGGGGCTGTGCGTAAAGGAGAGTGTGCTGGCATGGGGAAGCTCAGTCAAATAACGAGGTCAGCACAGGATATTCCTGCAAAGGTGTCAAAACCACAGAGATAATGTCCAGAACAAGGAACTGGTGCTAACAAGTGTTCTTGTGCTTTTATTATTCATTTATTTTTGAGATAGGGTCTCACTGTGTAGCCCTGGACGTCCTGGAACTCTCTATGTAGAACAGGCTGGCTTCAAACTCAGAGACCCATCTGCCTCTACCTCCTGAGTGCTGAGATGGGTGTGCATCACAATGCCCGTTCCTGTTCCTTTAAAGGAACAAGGAAGCTGGAGGGGAACAGTAGAGTCACAGGACTGTTGAGTGAAGAGCCTGCAGGCTGGCTGGACTCTGCCTGCTCTGTTGAGCAGAGTGGGCAGGGAGGTAGTTAACTCTCAGGCTCTGTCAGCTAGGATGCTAACACTGCAACGCAGAACAGCACTAGAGGAAGTCACGGATAGGGGTCAGGTTTCTCTATTTTGAAAGCAGAGCTGACAGGATTTTTTTTTAAAAATATTTATTTATCTATTACGCATACAAAATTCTGTCTGTGTGTATGTCTGCAGGCCAGAAGAGGGCACCAGACCCCATTACAGATGATTGTGAGCCACCATGTGGTTGCTGGGAATTGAACTCAGGACCTTTGGAAGAGCAGGCAATGTTCTTAACCTCTGAGCCATCTCTCCAGCCCCAGCTGACAGGATTTATTGTGGGTTGAGAGGTCCCAGAACTATGACTGTGGGATGAAGCTCTTACTCAGCAGAGCAGAGTTCTGGTCTGCTTCCATTTTGCTTGGGATGGGTAGAAAACAATTATGCTAATAACAGAGGCAGCAGCCAGTGAAGGGGCCAAGGTCCTGCTCCTGGCATCTTTGGGCCAGCACCAGGGACACCTCCACATAAGACCTGGAAGAGGCTGCAGCCCAGCTGTGATCTGGGCTCTTGTGTTTTGTTTTACCTTGTTCTTAGCTGCTCTAAATTGTTCTAGAAAGAAGGGAGCTCCACACTACACCTGACTCTGGGTATCACAGCTGCTAATCTGCAGGTCTTTCTAAACTGAGAGCAATGGGGTCCAGGTGCTCATCCTTTAAGGCCGTTGTGAAAGATCAATGGAATTTATTCAGAACCTGAAAGCTACTAAATGACAGCCCAAGCGCAGAAGAATCCTAAAAACGTACACCACAGGCTGAGGAAACGCAGCGTGGGTGAGCAAGACAACTGCACAGAACCTTTCTAGCATGGGCAGTGTCATTAAAACAAGAGCGTGGCTTAATTCCATGGTTTACACTCTGACATAAATACAGTATAAATGGACAGTCGTGGGGAAGTGGCAGTTTGTGACTTCATAGCCACAGACCCATAGACTGTATCAGAAAGGAAAGAGTAGGTCCGTAGTGAAGTGTTGGCTTTTGTGTTGTGTGAAAGTGGTTCTCGCATTTTCAGGGATGAAGTGCCCGTTGCTTTGGTTTCCACCGCTGTAGTAACTGTTGCGGGTGCGGCTACCGGAGACATGACAAACTAGACAAGGAGGGTGTATGCTCCCTAAGGCCTGTAGTAGAGAGACATTCTTTCCCCTCACAGGTTTAGCCCTGCAAACAGCTTTGGGGACATGTCAACTGGTCACAAGTTACATGGCAAGTCTGTATGAAGTTCATTCTGAACACTAGTGACGTGGCCTGATCACCTGCTTCCATCTCACTATGCCAAGATGCTATGAAAGGTGTCACCTGATGCCAAGCAGGAAGTATTCTCTCGGCCACTGAGGACCATGGATCCTGCTTATACTCACCGAGATCTATGCTGCCTCCACATCCCCTGGTTCTTGCCTCTGGCCTTTCTATGCCTATTGATAACCACCTGCTTTTGGGACTTTACTCCCTTCCTCAATGTTAAAACTGAAAGAATAATCCTCCTAGGCAGCCTGATGCTCAGTGGGTAAGGATATTCGTTACCAAGTCTAACCTGAGTTTCATCCCCAGAGCTCTGTCCTCCACCTGCGAGCTTTGGCATACCATCCCATTCCTTACAAAATAAATAAGAAATGGAATTCTTCTATTTGGACCCAAACTGTATAATGTGACCGGGCGAGGGACAGGCGAGGGCCGTGCGGAGAGGACTGCACTCACTTCAGAACCTGGAAGAGCCCAGGAGTCACAGACGTTGGTCTCATCATTCCAGCTCCACTAATGGTCCCCAGATGAACTTGAGGATAATACACCGTCCGAAGAGCTAGTCGGGAAGACTGCAACCTCGTCTTAATGACTTCGAGTGGACATGTGAAAATAGCACCAACTGTGCCCCCGCACCTGCAGGATGGAAGGCACAGGAGGTCAGGAGGGCAACACGAGTCCGCAGAAAATGCGGTCGCTATTTAGCTTTTTCCTCTTTAAGACAAAGTGCCTGCATTCATTTAATACAACTTACAAGGGAGTAAAAAACATTAGCTGAAGCCAGATGGTGGTGGCGCACGCCTTTAATCCCAGCATTTGGGAGGCAGGGGCAGGCAGACCTCTGTGAGTTCAAGGCCAGCCTGGTCTACAGAGAAACTCTGTCTCAAAAAATTAAAAAAAAAAATTAGCTCAGTTTCCAGAACTAAAGAGAATCACTTGAGAGTGATCCGTGAACACAGATGCCACCTGACCACTCGCAACAGTCTGATGTCATCCCTCTGTATCGCCACACAGTATTCAACCAACTTCCACTGTTGGATGCTCATCCAGTCTCTCCATGAGACTCACCATGAATAGTCTAAAATACAGATCTCTGCACATTCAAGCCAAATACTCAGACCGCGTTACTAGTTTGAAAACCTATGTTCATTACAGCCCAGACTTTCTAACATGGACACTACTGAACACTACAGCATACTTTCAACCAGTGAACGCCTGTCTCCTCCACTGTACAAACGGTGGGCACACACTGTTTCCTAGTTACCGTCTCTCCGGGTCATTCCGCTAAACTTCAGTTCTGTCCTTCACAGCATGCTGATAGCAAGAAATTTCTTGAATTACTTTTAAACTTTTTTTTTTTTGTACAAGAATTGAACCCAGGCACATGCCAGGCTAGATGCTCTACCACTGAGCTACAATCTCAAACCTTTTTTTTTTTTATTTCAAGACAAAGTCTCCCTAAATTGCCCAGTTTGCAATTCTCCTGCCTCAGTTCCCTGAGAAGCAGGATCACAGGTGTCATCAGCACACCCAGCTTAGACACCTTTCTACAAGACAGCAGCCCACTTCTTTACCTACCTACCCATTTCCATCTTCTCTGACATAACGCTATCTACAAAACCATGCTGGACAGGCCAGCTATAACAAATGATGTCATGGACCATCTAAAGTTACCACCCCTACATCCAGGGATTTTCCTCCTTGGAAAACATGGCCCTGCAGCAGAGCAAACCCAAGTTGGGACCTGGGGTCTGACTCACTTTTGCATCTGTGGCATCAGGACCAAGCAAGTTCACAACGGGCAATTGTTTAGCGAGGATTATTCAGTTGAGAATTCACAGAGAAAGTCTTTTTATTATTATATCATTAAGTATTATTATTATTATTACAATTATTTGAACATGTGTGGAGAGGTAAGGGGACAGCTTGCAGGGGTGGGTTCTCTTCTTCCATGTGGATCTGGGGATTGAACTCAGGTCATCACCTTGGCAGCAGGTGCCCACACCCACCAAGCCATCTTGCCAGCCAGAGGGTAGATTTTAAGCTGTAAATATTTGGGGAAGCGCTAACTCTGCTTCTTACCCGCCATCCCCTTGCCTTAGACTGAGAGAGAACTCCTGGCAGGCTAGCATTTGCAGAATCTTACACCAGACTCTCTATAGCAGTAACCCGACACTTAATATACACCCCCAAAGTGAATAAGGCAAAATCTCCAGGTAGGACTTAAATTAGGGCTGGCAAGCTGGCTCAGCAGTGGACAAAAGTGATTCAGACAACCATAGTGACTTGAGTTTGGTTTTTTTAAAGCTGGTTGGAATGGTTTGAATCTGCCACCCCAGTCCCAACACCCTACAGTGAAATGGGGGTAGACAGAGGAGAATCAGCCAGAAGCTCACAGACAAAGGGCAGTGAAGAACTAACGAGGCAGCCCCAGCCTCAAACACAAAGTGGAAGGGACTGAAAGATGGCTGAGAGGTTAGGAGCGCTTGCTGCTTTTCCAGAGGACCCGAGTTCAGTTCCCAGCTCACAAAGCAGCTTATAAGATCCTTAACTCCAGTCCCAGGGTTTTCAGTGCCCTCTTCTGGCTTCCATGGGCACTAGGCACACATACAATGCCCTTACATCCATGCAGGCAAACACATAAAATAAAAATAAATAAATCTTTAAACTAGTGAAGGGGAGAACCAACTCTTGAGAGGCTGCCCTCTGATCTCAGCAGACACGTAGCTGCACTGGTGGACCTGCACTCCTCCACTGCACAGCACAAGGGCTCATGCTCACAGAGGAAGCCACATCTTGCTTACTCAGCGCTGGACTACTAGTTAAAAGGCTGTTTCGCTGAATGTTGTAGACCACATGGGTAATCCCAGCACTCTGGAGACTGGAAAGGGGGATCGTGAGATTGGGGCTAGCCTACACTACATAGCAAGACACCGGCTAAGAAAGGGAAAGAAAGGCAAGAAGGAAGGAAGCAAAAAAATATTGTTTTGTGACAAGCATTTAATCCTCCAACAAACGTTTTATGAGGTCAGAACATATGTGCCCCAATTTACCATAAGTATCCTGAATGTTGTGAAACAGAAATGTATATAAGTGAGGGAAGGGGGGAAACAGCTATATCTGGCTATTCAGGTAAACCTGCTTTAAAACTGTGATCGCTGCTGGGTGATGGTGGCACACACCTTTAATCCCAGCAGAGGCAGAGGCAGGCAGATCTCTGTGAGTTCGAGACCAGCCTGGTCTTCAAAGAGTTCCAGGACAACCAGGGTAAAAAGGAGAAATCCTGTTTTGAAAAAATAAAAACAAATTAAAAAAAATCATGATCATAGCATAGAAAAAAAAGGTATTATCTACTACCCCAAAAAAAGGGAGAAGGAATGAAATGAGGGAAGAAAGGTCAGTGGGAGGCAAGTAGGAAGGGAAGGGGTGGGGCTGGGCTTGCTTGGTGTATACTTGTAAACCAGCATTTGCAAGACTAAAGAGGAAGATTACCATGAGTTCCTCGCCAATTAGGGCTATAAAGCAAGAGTTTGTCTCAAATCAAACAGAAACAGACAGAAGCACTGAAGGGAAACACAACACTGTTACTATTACAAGTGAGTGAGTACTCACTGGGCAAGCCCCAGTTGCTACAATGTTGTCAACTACAGGCCCAAGCCCATCACTCACAAAGGCACTCAAGGTCCTGTGATGGGAGCCCAAAAGGAGAAAAGACAGAAGGAATTAGACACCTTCGAGATTTGTTTTATTTTTATTGATATAAGTAAATGAACAAACGTCTGGCTGTACTGGGAGGATTAACTAAGGGGTGGAGACCTGCCTTCAGTGTGGCCATCATACAGACTAGGACTGCATAGAATAAAAGGGGAAAACAAGAGCGCCCACTAGCAGGGCTCTCTTTTTTTTCTCTGCTTCCTGGCCAGCTGAAGTTGCTTTGTTCTGCCCACCAGGATGGGTTGAAATCACCACCCTAAATAAACCCTCCGGCCTCTAGGTTGTTTCTGCTCAGTTATTTGTAACAGCAACAAAAAGCCCAGCACACTTGGCCTGGGAACTCTGTGGCAGCATCAAGCATTTTCTCTTTCTCTAGTCTACATATTCCTGAGACCACTATTCTAGCCTTGGTTCCTAGCCCAAGCAATTCTGCCTCCACCCCCAGTGACATCTGGCAACGTATGAAGACATTTTTGGTTGTTGAAGAGATGTTATTATTAGCAGGCCAGTACGCTGCTGAACATCCTAAAATGCATAGGACAAAACAATTAATCACACTACCCAAGCTGCAAAACTGCATTCTAGACCAATAAAGTGGACAACCCATCTTGGAGGCAGCTGGCATTGCTGGCAGCCTCCCAGCATAGGGTACCCCTCTGTCCTAACCAGATCTGTTTCTTAAGCCATACAGTATGAATGGGTCAAGGCCATTTCTAGTTTTAATTCTGACTCACATAAGCCCATTAACATGATACCATCTACTCGGCCACAGTCTGTTCAGAGAGGAGCATGTGATTTGGGCCCAGATACTCAGCATGAATTCTCTTGGAGCAATGACTGGTTTAGAGATGGGTGTATCTCCAAGTTGGCCCCATAAAGAAACTGGTGGGAGAGACAGAGGAACCGCATGCAGATGAGAGGACCAAGCATACATCACTGGGAGGCAGAGCAGTCCGGGCTCCACAGAGGCTGGAGCAGTTTCCGCAAGCCCTCTCCCGAGCTTGTGCCCCTCTGGAACTCAGGTGTATGGTACAGGAGTTAACCAGCGCAGAGTGGGTTTCCTATTGCTCACAGCTACAATCCCTAAACTTATACTTCGTGTTTGGAGAAAGCTCATAGGTAGGACGTGACTACTGCAGACAGCGTTCAAAGGGCAGTCAGCACTCCTGTGGAGGAGGCAGCATTTCCAATGGCTACAAGGAAACTTCCTGGACGTTAATTTAATTTCTCTCCCAGGGTAAGTTTGCACTGGTTACTATAATGCCAAAGTCCAGTAAAATTCTCTGGAATGTTCCACTCAGAGCAAACATGGAAGGGTTTGAGGAGAGCAACAGAACGGCCCTGAATGACTACCACTTCGAGTCCTTCCCACCACCTGTCCCCATATATAT